GTGCATTGCTTGCGTCACATCGAAGGGTTAATCGGGATTTAATCGGCTCTCGGAGCCTTGTAACGCTTTTTTATTCGTCCTTAACATTAAAATGTGGGCCGTGTCGGTTGCCAGCGCGCGACTCGCGAAACTTTCGTTCCTGAAGAGTTTCGAGGGGTCTTTCACGCCTTGTTTCTCGCCTCGAACAGAGTCGAATCGTAGTTCGATGATGATCCGCTCTAAAATAACTCATCGAATGACTATTGCTCGTCTCTCGTTTCTATTCCAGTCGTAGCATGGCGCCTAACGTTCGCGAATCACTCGCGTTGCTTTTAACCCTCGTTGCAAACCAAATTCGTCTGCACTTGCCGGTTCGATAAAACGGTACTCGAATAAAATATGTAGTGGCCCCGAGAAACGATCTATTCGAATGAGAGCCGATTACGATATACCCAGGAGAGTCGTGCATTTTGATCGACCAACGAATTTTTTAAACGAAACGAAATTCGACACTGCTACTGCAACGCAAAGCTTCGTGCAAAATATCCTTGTACGTTAGGGACGCTGGACATTGAAGAGGTTGACAGTCGTAAAGAAAATGTATGACAATGATCGAAGGGGAAGAAGAAGAGATATATTTCTTTCGCAGAAAGCACGCGTTCGCGAACTCGTAGAGATGATTTCACGCGACTAACGCGGTCCCCGGGGCTATTTCCGATATTTATCTGGTACGTCGTTCTAGATAGAGGCGGCTGATGGCGATCTGCTTTGGCAAAATTGCGGAAAAACCTCGGACCACTTGGCAACGCGCGAAAAACAACACGACTGCGCCTTTCCGTTAAAGTTTCGCTGGGTAACGCCGCTTAACCTTTTCCTGTATCGTCCTCGATTAAAAAAAGCCTATAGGTGCACGTTGCACCGATACAAAAAAGATGAGAAATCAGTGGTGGTTCCAAGCTGCAACAGAAGTACATAATAATCCTTTAATTGGAACGAGCAGCTGAAAGAGTGGAAAAAAAGGACACCATTGCCCGAAGGTAACCGGTGAAAATCTGCGCCGGGAATTAAAGTCAGAGTGAAATATCACCGTTGAAGGTAGGAATATCACGAGAAACGGTAATTATTTAATTGGGACGAACAGCTGGAAAGTTCGAAAGGCGTAAGACGAGAATCCGATTGAACGACAAGGTATAGAAGAAGGGAGACGAGGAGAATACGCGACGTGTAGGACGGGCAATGACAACACGGTGAACAGGTATATAGAAGTCGACGGACAGACCACTGCTCGAGGAGTAAAAGTGTGCCGGATTGTATAATCGAACGTGAATAAGCAAAATGTTACGCCATAGCGATTTGGTAACTTTGCGGGGCACCCCACCAGCGCAGCGTCGGCCGTGTTCCCATTGCGGTGCTCGACGCGACCAACGCGAAACTCGGTCGGAGGAAAATTCAACCTGTTAAGGACCCACCCGCAGGATCACGATGCAATTTCTGCCGTTGCCGTTTCGAACGGCTCGATACGATCGGTTTACGAGATTACGTTACACGCGAAACACACCGTGTTCTGTAATCGTACGCGGTTCGCCAGGAGACCGGCAGAGGAGTCTTTAACCCCTTTGTGGCGAACGGCACGGTTTCGTGCGACTCTGCCTTCCATTGGTCAAAGGTACTGCCCTAACCTCTTCCTGGCCCCTCCCTTTATTCTTGCTGCATTCTACCTACGTTCTTCCTGGCTTTTATGAAATACCGAGCAAATCGAATAGCTTACGTTGCACCCGAATCTACATGCAGTGGCGAACAAAAGAAAGCTTAAAATAGCCACTTGCCTTTACGAGTCTTTGTAACCTCTATAACAGATACTTTACATCGTGTCGATAATACCACTCTTATTCCAGGGCACCTCCTTAATCCGTCCGACATTGATTATCCTTTTGTTTATTCGGCTGCACTTACTCGGCATGCAATTAATCCATTTTACGCAACAGGTGCAATGGACAAAAGTAGATTAAAAACTTATAATCACGTCACGAAATGAACGTCTCTTTAACTTTTCGAAATTATTAGGCAATTTCTTGTTTTTGTATCAAGCAATGATTTCTCGTCTCGTTTATGTCCTAAAGTTTCTTTTGTTTAGATTCGGAGGTCTGGGATAAAAGTATTCTTAATACCGTGTCTCCAAATGCACGATTATATCTTTTAATTGTTTGATCCAGTCCGCCAAGATAGCTAGTGGAAATCGTCGAACAAAGCTTTACGGTAAGAGGAGAAACATTTTTAAATAAATACATCCTGGTAGTAACAATATTCGATAGAGAATTTGCTGGAAACGGGGTTAGATGCGTTGCCACGCTTCAGGAACACTTTCAATCAGGGAAAGTCAGGCTAGACCTCGTTGTCGGTTAACCAGAATCGAAGAATTGCTATTGCTACATCCATCGAGGAACAGTTATAACAAAAAATCGAACGGTTACATATCCGACGATTACATATATTCTTCGAAATACAATTTCATACAATGACAGAAGCAATCTGGGACACCTATCGAACCTCGTCTATAATCCATCGCGCGAGTTTAAAGTTTAAAATCCATCGCGATAAAAGCGAAAAAGAAATGGAAATCGTAAGAACCGTCAACGACCCAGATTGCCTGCGGAGGGTTAATAATCACCGCGCGAAGAGCGGATTTCTCGTTGGTGTTTCTCGATTTTCACTCGGAGCCTCCTTTCAGGTAAGGCAATCGTCTGCAACCTTGGCGACGATCCAATTCGAGCAGCACCACTGAAATCACGACGGGACCAGGTGTGCCCCGGCGAAATCAGCTGTCGTTCGGTCGAACGCGATCGGAAAGACAAAACCGATTGGCAAAGTGATCGCGACGCAAGATTATTGCGCCTTATTCCTCCCTTTACACTTCCAATTCGGGCATCTTAATAAATTATACCTTCGTCGCGTCGCTTTAAAAACACGCTAATTGCGACTGCAACTTCTCCTTTCGACTCCGTATAATGTTGCAAACGGAGTTTATCTACAAACGAATTCGTTGCGCAGAAAAAGTCTGTCCGCTGTTATCGTTATTGCGCTTGCAGCAGGAAATGTTGGAGATTCTTGGAAACGCAACGAAGAAGAGTAAACTTTCTCCGCTCGATAAAGACAGGAAAATGTTTAAGTAAATGGAACGCGCATAATCGCGAACAAAACAGCGAGAGGAAACAGCGTCGTGGAAAAAAGGGAGAAAGAAGAGGAAAGGAAGGTTGGAGGATGAATCGAGCCGATCCTATCGACGCGTGCGACGACGGTGCAGGAAGCAAATCTGGGCCGTTGAATCAGGGAAAAGTAAGTGGGTCAAGAGAACGCGAATGCTCGCGGCCGACGTCGGCGTCGTAGCTACTTCTACCGACTGCGAGGATGATGACGTTGTTCTATACAGCAGGTACACGGGACGGTGAGCAACTCGGCAGGAACGCGTACACGAGCTCTCTTTCTTTCGGCTTTTCCTGTCACCGTTGCAACCAGACTCTCCTTTCACTTTGCATCTAACCTGACGTCGCACCGCGAGGAAGTCGCGTACCACTCTCCCGTTTTAGATCGACTTAGACACTTCCTGGCTCGCGTTCACCGGCTTCGGAATCGCGCGGAAATTCAGAACGAGCCCTTGGCTCGACCGACATCTTCCACCACGCTTCTAATTGGATCAATTCGATTCTTCGGTTACGCGAAACAGGGTCTTGAGCTGTGCAGCTAATTATTACATTCTCTGCCAGCTCGTAATTATTTTTACTATCTCGTGTTATCGTTTCTTTGCTTCGAGCAACGCAGATTGCTTGTTCTTCTTCAAATGCAAATTTTGTATAAGAGAACTATAAATGCATAAAGAGACCGCTGCGTCGTAACAGCAGACGTACTGTATGTGGTGAATTATATCGATGAGGCAATATACGAGATACGTCATTGAATTTGGGGGAATTAGTAGCCTTTCTGTTCTCGTTTACTTAGCAAGACTCAACGTGGAAGCTCGAAGTAGGACGTAAAGTAGAAACTCTTAATAAATGTATAGAATTATTAAGAAATCTTTCATAGATATAAAATGACTCACGATACGACGAATCGTTCACTATCGAAGATCGATCAACATCTTCACTTATCAATGTTTTATCCGATACGAGCATCCAATCGAAATTATTCACCGAGCATAATTACTTAACAGGCTATGAGACACTTTCTTTCGCCGTTCGCGATCGATCGATACCCAGCAAGCCGAAATAAACTCGAGCCGGTCGTCGTTGCGTCACGACTATCGTATCTCATCGATATCAGTCATAAGACGTCGAAATTACCGATTTATATCGTTCAACATTCAAAGTGCTCCGCGAATCGACAACGAACGACGGAGATTCTCTCGAACGCGTGAAAATAAATTCGCTTTTTCTTGGAATTTAAAAACAAAAAGAAAAGAAAAATCCTGTTTGGAGGTTTTCCTCGATACATTGTCAGTCTTGAATCGATATGCTTCGAACGTGGAATTGGAAATCAACTTTGAAATGTTGATTTCTCTACCGGTTGCAACAATTTTATAATACGGGTGTTAAAATCGGACGGTGAATAAAAGTGACTCTTGCATAACAGTGGCACCTCACCGTCGATGCATCGACCAAGTATTTTTTCTCGGCAAATGCGGGTTGAAATGCAGCAGACGTTGTCAAACAATGGAAATGTATTCAGGACTTGTAAAATCTACTTTGTGATATTGAAATGCAAGAAAAACGTATTTCTTACGTTCCGAACGTTTCCGATAACATTTAAGGATCGTCTTGCTTCAAAGGCGGATACAAGAGGTTATTCGCACGGTGAAAAATAGAAGACGCGCGTTTAAAATTTATAAAATATACCTTGTGATCTGGGCACGAGAGGTAAACGTATTTCATACGTTCTAAACGTTTTGGCATTCGTTTAAAATCGTGCTCGTTTCGTTGTTCGAAGCGATGACATTTGTATAAAAAAATAATAAGATAAAGTAGACTTACATGTAGGAGGTTGACGGTAATGCAAGTGTTGTAGACTCTGCGTTTGATGGTGATGATGATGGTGTGGCGGTCCCATTGTCGGGCCCATGGTGTGGTTCCCGTGTTGATGGTGTGGTGAACTCCCTCTGTGCGGATGGTACTGGGATGGATGATGCTGATGAGGGTGGTACGATGGTGGTAGGAAACCCGCCGTCGAGGGGTAAACGCCAGGACTGTGACAGGCTGACCTGCCGAGCGCTGCTGTCGAATAATTCACAAAAATATCGTATAAAAAGATGCACCTCGTACCGCAAAGCACTCGGGAATATAAATTCACGAAATGATCAAAAATTGACTGGGCCAACTCGTCCTTGATCTTTCAAAATCGACGCTTTTGAAAATTGTAATCATCCGTTACGAAACTCGAAGAGTCGTAGACAAAATACGATCAAGTATCGAGATAACATTGATTAAGTTTTTAAAGGTGAGCAACGAATGCAAATGGGTATTCCGTTTTTGGAAAACGACATAAAAAAATCGTAAAAACGACGATTTCAATATTTTGCGCGACGGAAACGACTTTCCATTCTTGCGTAATTATACACGGGTGGTATTGTCAGAAAGGTTGATACGTTGTTCCGAATTGTAAAAGATCGCGATTCTAAGAGAAATTCGATATTGCAAGAGTTACGTACCTGACGACAGATGAGAATGATGGGACGCCAAGCTCGGTTGAAGGGACGAGTTAGGGTTGAGCCTGGCTTTCAGTAAGAGATTCGCATCCTCGTTACCACCCGAGGACGTGCTGGATTCGACGTCGCTGACTCCGCTATCTGCAGGACTCGCTGGCAGTGATCCGCTTCCTGCTTTCATACAACAGAAACAGAAACACACGCTTTTTCTTTGCTAACTGTTCTTATCTAACGTTATCGGCATTCAGTGAAAAGTTATCGAGTAACGCTTTTTATGACAAGTAATTACCAAGTCGTGGCGATACAACGGGTTGCGTTATTAAGACAATGCGTTCTGATATAAAGGAGTTGTTACGCAGGGCATAGAGATACAATGGGCTGCAATATTAACGCGTGGCAATATTATACACCGATCTTTGCAAAAATCTATTCGAAAACAATAAGAATCTACCGAAGCGTATATATTTCCTTCGTGGAGCGAATTGCTCGGCTCGTAAAAATCTTATGCCCCTATTTAATCCCCATAATGCGAACCTGGGGAATTAATCTCGAATCACGGCAATCGAAAAAATAGCCTATGCACAGTGGTCCTCGGATACGAAAGTAGAAAAGGTTCGGTTGGATCCGGTCGAATTACACGCGAGCACATCCTTTTCGCTCGGTTTCGCTGCTCTTTGTGCACCCTGGGTGAATTAGAGGCTCCTTAGGTGGTCCGAGAGCAACGTCTGCTTCGCTTTATCGAACGTGTTTTCGCGTGCGCCGTCAATTAAAGGCATCTTTATGCAACGAGCGAAGGTCATCCGGTCATTGGGTATGCATATCGTTCGCGCTTCCCACGGTCTCCTTCTCTGTCTCGCTCCTCTGCACGAGCGGGCCATCGGAGAGAAAGGTAACCGTCTGAAACCAGTCCTAAAAGGTCCGGTGGTCCTATGTGTCTGTGCACGGAGCGTAGTCGTCGATATCTGTCTGTCTGTCTGGCTCTTGACTGCACGACCACCGCCGCCACCGTCATTGTCTTCGACGTCGATCGTGTCGATTCTAAGAATCCCAAAATATCGCAAGATTTAACGATCACGATCGTCATATGTGTGGACACGTTCTAGCACACGTTAGTCACAGATACTTATGGAGCTCCGTTACATACGCGACGACCAACCCCTATCACAATATCGCAAATTTCGGATGTTATTGTTCATGTCTCAACTTTTGTTGCTATCCAACTGTGCTACTATCTCAAATTTACGTTACTGTCCATAACTGTGTTAGCGTCTCAAATTTCCTATAGATACTATTCACAGAAACAGAAACACACGCTTTTTCTTTGCTAACTGTTCTTATCTAACGTTATCGGCATTCAGTGAAAAGTTATCGAGTAACGCTTTTTATGACAAGTAATTACCAAGTCGTGGCGATACAACGGGTTGCGTTATTAAGACAATGCGTTCTGATATAAAGGAGTTGTTACGCAGGGCATAGAGATACAATGGGCTGCAATATTAACGCGTGGCAATATTATACACCGATCTTTGCAAAAATCTATTCGAAAACAATAAGAATCTACCGAAGCGTATATATTTCCTTCGTGGAGCGAATTGCTCGGCTCGTAAAAATCTTATGCCCCTATTTAATCCCCATAATGCGAACCTGGGGAATTAATCTCGAATCACGGCAATCGAAAAAATAGCCTATGCACAGTGGTCCTCGGATACGAAAGTAGAAAAGGTTCGGTTGGATCCGGTCGAATTACACGCGAGCACATCCTTTTCGCTCGGTTTCGCTGCTCTTTGTGCACCCTGGGTGAATTAGAGGCTCCTTAGGTGGTCCGAGAGCAACGTCTGCTTCGCTTTATCGAACGTGTTTTCGCGTGCGCCGTCAATTAAAGGCATCTTTATGCAACGAGCGAAGGTCATCCGGTCATTGGGTATGCATATCGTTCGCGCTTCCCACGGTCTCCTTCTCTGTCTCGCTCCTCTGCACGAGCGGGCCATCGGAGAGAAAGGTAACCGTCTGAAACCAGTCCTAAAAGGTCCGGTGGTCCTATGTGTCTGTGCACGGAGCGTAGTCGTCGATATCTGTCTGTCTGTCTGGCTCTTGACTGCACGACCACCGCCGCCACCGTCATTGTCTTCGACGTCGATCGTGTCGATTCTAAGAATCCCAAAATATCGCAAGATTTAACGATCACGATCGTCATATGTGTGGACACGTTCTAGCACACGTTAGTCACAGATACTTATGGAGCTCCGTTACATACGCGACGACCAACCCCTATCACAATATCGCAAATTTCGGATGTTATTGTTCATGTCTCAACTTTTGTTGCTATCCAACTGTGCTACTATCTCAAATTTACGTTACTGTCCATAACTGTGTTAGCGTCTCAAATTTCCTATAGATACTATTCACAAAATTAACCCTTAAACGCATATAGTTGTATAAATGCAACATACCAGTTTTAATCTTATAAATTATTTACAAAATGTAGGAAACCTGCAATGAGTAGTGTTGCATATCTGCAACACACCAATCAAATACACAATAGCGTCATCTGTTCGTTTTAATTTGAATCAACCGCTTTCAAGGTATTTTGTTAGTTGATAAATTTTGGTAAAATTACAAAATCATGCATTTAAGGGTTAAATTTATGTACGTCACCATAATATCTCAAACTTCAATTTGCTACAACGTCACAATGCCTCTCGAATTTGCTATTAAAAAATTATTAAAAATGATATATCTGGTTCGTGCAATCGAGCAACGCTTCCTTTTGCAACGATCGATTATTTTCGATGATCGAGGACCCTCCTCCCTGAACGAGTTTCGTTTTCAACGAGCCACTTGTGAACCGGATTATCCGTGACTCTGGTTGGTCTTGTCGCTTACGTAACGATATTTTGCAAAGCGTCGAATCACGTGCACCAAGAGTTCTGCAGGATTGGGACACACGCGTTATGTCACGCTGGTTGGTCTTGCTCCCTTATTTCGCTTCGTGCTACCGCATTTAACGACAATAAGGCTAATTTGCAGGATCCTCGTTGGAACGACAGCGCATTACCTCGATTCGTGTACGATAAGTCGCGCATCGAGTGACCGATTTTCGAACGAAGAACGAGCTCGTAAAGTAAAAGTACCGTAAAATGACGCTTATTGTATACCAATTTGAAGTTTAGAATTCGTTCGAAACGACTCGATAAATGTTTGAAAAAATACTTTTAGTAGAACATAGCTAGTTTTCCGGTACAGTAACTAAATCTATTTTAGCGATTACAAGCACCGTTATTGAAACACCTTTTAAACGACGGAAAAGTACGAGTATTTTATATTATAATTACGCCAAGTGTCTGAATATTTATGAAAGGTAATGTATATTTATCAGTAGCCGGTACTATCGTTTAAACGAAACAAGCGCAGGTAAAATAACGGTAACAAACAAGTAAATTGTTATCAAGCGACGATCAAGCGCGTAGAAATGTTGTCGTAGAAAGTCCGTTGCATGAACTACGGTACCGTTTCGCCTTGAAAAATCGTTCGGAAGAAAGTCACTATAGTGTCTCGCGGCACCATTTAAGCGTCAATAGTTTCACAAAACCGGAAGCTGGTGAATCGAGCAACGCGCAAGATGGTCGCGTGGATTGGTCGCGCACGAATATTAAAAAAAAGGAAGCCAACTTCGAGTGAAATCTCTCATCGCGCCGGCAGGAAGTCGAGAAATCGATATTGCCGGTCTGCGCTACGGTTAAACAGGAATTTTCGCCTTTTTATTGCCACCGCGTCGTCTCTAACGATTAATGTCAGCAACAGAAAATTGCTGGCCGAGCGAGCGAGCCGGGAAACGGTCCAATGGGAGCGAGCGTAACGCTTAACGCGCCAGCGTGCCCATGAAAACTCGCCGAGAGGAAAGTCAAACGTTTTAACTAGCGCCGAGCCACGCCGGAAGTGATTTCCTGTCGACCGTTTACCACTCCGAACCGTCGATGTCGCTTTGTAAATATTGTTATTGGTTCGTAGTTCGGAAAATCGCATTTTTCCTACGCGCTTACGACCTCGAACCGCGATCGCTTGCTCCGATTGATTTCACTCGGTTCCGCGTCGCGATCCTTTCCGTTGCTTTCTCCGCGCGTTTCTATTGTAATCGCGCCGAAGAAGATTTCGCGGCGACAGCGTTACACGTCTTGTTTAATATAAACTTCGATACAATTCCCTTCGTTTACCTTCGATTTCGAGACAATATCTAAGGTATATTTAGATTCTGGGCTTTCTAAGTTATACGCTTTCTAGGTCATAGGTTTCTTTAACGCCGTAGGTTCCTTAGGTCTTAGGTCACCTGAATTCCAAGCTTCCTAGATCATTCCTCAATCTCAGAAAAACTACATTTCATCTTAAATAGGAGAAGGTTGCACCCGTGAGTATACAGTGAAACTTGTGAATGAAGACGTTTCGCGGTGAAAGGAATCGGAAAGTTCTACGCTATTTTACGATATAAAGTTTCATTCTCGCGACGCAGATGATATATTGAAGATTCAACTTCCAAGGTGCTCGTGTTCGAAGTTCAAACGGAAGTTAAACGTCTACGTTTAAACAGCTCATACATTATGTTTTAGAAATGGAGTCTTAAATTTTTATTTCATTAAAAACACGTGTAAGAGACATCCCGGCAGTCAGACACTCGATTTGCATATGTAAAATAAGTTTGTGCATTTGTATCGCTTTTTGGTTAGTCGCGCACAATCGCCAGAAGATTATGTTTATTCAAACAGGTACGTCACTGTTTGAAAGCGCGATGCTTAATTAGCCAAACAAATTTTTTCGCTATCTCTAACGCGTTTCAGCATCATAGATAAAAGAAAGAATTTTAATAACGTTACACTATCGAACCTTCGCGCGCAAGAATAATCTCTTATCTAACAATAGTTAAGTCCCGCATAAAGTATCTTCAAACCTAAGTCTAAAGCACATGTGATCGTGTTTGAAGAAGTTTGATGACTCAGTACATTAATATTTTTACACGGAGCAGTCGCTGAATAAAATTATCGTTTACAGAATTAGAAAGAATACACTGTTGTTACCATAAAAGATTTTACCGAGAAGGTTGATCCTTTGCGGTCCATTCGTTGGATCCACGGCGAATTTGAACCAAATGTTTGGTGCAATTTCAAAAATTTCTCTAGTCAAGAGAATTCACTTATATTTACGCAAACATCCCCAAAAACAGCAACATCGAAGGAAAAGACGGTTCGGTAAATCCAATAAGGAAATTTCAGATTTTACGTTATCAGCGATACGAGAGTACCTTATCGAGAAATCGGACCGCAAAGGGCGAGTAATCGAAGGCATGGTCCTTGCTAACCTGGTGTGCTGGTGGTGGCGATCGTGGCAGTGGTGTAGGGCGGTTGGCCCATTTGAGCATGGCCAGTTAAATGACGGCCATATCCGTTTTGCACCCCTAAACCATGTTGCTGGGGGTGCTGGGAGAGGATACCGTGTAAAAGACGAGTCCCCGTGGTTGTCGTCGTCGTACCGGTCGATCCTGGTTCCGCTTTAACGCTCGCAAGTCCTAGTTGCTCCTTTTCGCTGACATCGTGCGGCTGGACCTCCCTGGTGTCCACTGAAACCGCGCAAAAAACAAGGGGACAAGGTTAGTCTTTCTCTTCTTCGACGTCAATCGATCGAGCTAACGAACAAACGAATTACTAACGAGCTCGATGCAAGCCCTACCTATCATCGCATTAGCATAAAGAACATAATTTAAGTTTAAACACTTGCAATTCTCTGTTCGATAGCTTATCAAAAATATGGCACCTTTATACACGGTATACTTTATCGACTACGTTAAAATACCTTAAAAATAAGCGATGTAGATCTCAATTCTTTAAAATGTGTCTCACCCTATCGAACATATCTTGCCGTGTCTACAATGTTCTTAAATTACGTGCCACTAAAAGAGGGAAAGTAGAGTTAAACTCGATAATCGAGATTAAGATACAGGGCTGAAAGCTGGTATACGATGTTGATTTCTGGTAAGCTATCGAACGGTACATTAGAAGAATCGGTTCAAGGGCACCGTGTTCCGCTATAACCCTTGCTCCCGTTTCCAGGGAAATCGCGAAAATACGAAAGTATCGGCTTCCTAACGGTAGCAGCGAGAAGGCTAAGGAAGCACGATGAAAAAAAAGAAGCATGGGAGGTGTTCTCGAGGGGTATAGCGCGGCGCTGCGGAGAGGAAGTGAAAGCCGGTGTCTCTCCTTGACCCACTGCAACGTTTCTACCTTCCTTTCAGGCAGTGCCAACCTCGCGGCTTCATTAAGCAATTTCTCGCCGTGGCGGGGAAAAATCGTCGTGGAAAATCGGCTCGGATCGCCGGAGTCTTTGGGATCCCACCACGGCGAGCCTTTCTTCTTCGTTCTCGATCATCTTTCGCCATCGACGACCGTCGTTATATCCCGATATATCGCGTAATCGAGACACGCAACGCCCGAAATATCGGTCAAAAAGAGAAGCGGGTCGACCGCTCGCAAATTACACGAAATTTCGGGTGAACCTTCTGACCCTGCTAACGCAAGACCCTCGATGCAAGCGCGCTTGGCATCGAACATGCATTTTGGTCATTTAGGAATTTGAAATTTGAGGTATTCTATCTAATGAAACGTAACGGGGTCCATATTTTGGGACCCTGCTTAGTTACACGAATGCACACGATTAAATGATCGGATCTCGTTACGTAATCGGATGAGGTCTGCGATATTTACGCTCCAGACGAGTCTGGATGTCTTGTGAGAAATCCGATGACGAAACTGTGCCACGGGATCGACAGAAAGATCGATGGCGCATCCGAGCATCTGTCGGTTTTCTTCTTTCGATCGAAACCGTAAACACGAGGAGAAATCGAAGACCGGATCGCGCATTTGTGTCTCGCATACAACTTTCGTCGTCGATACAGATTGTGTATTCTAATTCCTTGCAACTTTGCCACTGTATTCCGATAAGAGAATTCGTTTGACGTTCGAACTTGTGGCAACGAATCTTTGGTTTCAAGAACGTCTTGCAACATGTTTTCCACGACGCAATCTGTGAAAGATCACGAAATCGCTCGAATATAAAAATACATGGAATTAAGAGACGCGAAGGCGATAAAGGTCTAATATGCTAGGTCAAGGAGATCTATTTCGTAGATTCGGAAATTGTTTTAATGCCTTTATTTTATACACGCTAACTGCAAACGATGACGTACGTGATGTGTTACAAAAAGGTTAATCTACGAGATCAAAGTTTATCTGAAGTTTGAAAGCATTGACAAACGTTTCTCGGTAAGACGGATAAATTAAAATTCGACCGGACGTGGCGTCGTTCGTCGAGGAAGTCGATCTTTACGGAGCGTATCAAGCATCGATCGATGCAATAAATATCTCGATATCTGACGTCACGTATGCAGTCGTGAATCGACTCGGTAATTACTGATCGTGTAGATCTCGGTTCACCGTGTTCGACAAAAACGACAATCGTATTATCGGTTTCTTTTCGCGCCAACAAGGAGAAATACGCAAATTAACGAAAACAAGAAAAACGGAAGAAACGAAAAAATGGAGAGGAGAATAGTAAAAGGAGTCACCGACAAACTAATCAAACTGTGCGTCGAGTCTGTGTGAATTCTTTGGAACGGTCTAACGTCAGCTCGAATATCCGGTTTTCTACGCGACACCGGATGCGATTCACAATTTTGTATCTTCTCGTTTCTACGCGATCAAAAATTGTCCTACGCAAAAGTAAGTTTCGGTAAATGAACTCGATATCGAAGTCGATCCAACGCTATCTATTTTGAATCCATTTAAATCTCCTAACAACGTTATCTGCCGTAAATGGACCGCGGATATTTATACATTTATGATATATCGCATGAAAACAAAATTTACATAAATCATGAAACCTATATGTGTACTTTTCAGACTTCGATACATGAAAAATGCATAAACATCAGCAGACTCGTTATATACATAGAAAGATATTTTTTGTACCGCTGCTCTAATAATTTAATTAGCCACTTTGTAGAGATTCGAGAGTTCGAGAAATTCAATGGAACGAAACTCAAGCGTTTCGCGTTAACGAGCGCCTGCCTCGTCTCCGAGCCGGAAGCGGATTTCAGGAAGGTGGATAAGAGGCGTGCAACGAGCATGGAAGGTGAAAACGTCGGTGAAAATTGCTCGGTTGTCGAAACGGTGAGCGTAGGTTGCGGGGATGTTCGGTCGATGCGGCGAGACACCCACCCTACGTTGTCGCGGAGGGCGAGTCAAGGTCAAGCAAGGTCGAACCATTCCAAAGACTCCATTACACGCTAACGAGCCGATACGCTCGGTTGCTCGCGCGAATAAGACGGTGGATCTCGCGGCCGTCTTCTGTGCGCGATAAGCGATACGAAACCTGTACCTAACAGATCTCATTTGCGATCGAATAAGATCTCGCGGTTTGACATACTCGATTTTCCGCATTCCAATCGGTGAAATCAGTGATGAACAACCATGCACGCGACAACGCACGAGCGCGCATTAGTCACCGCCGAGTAGCTGAATTACCAAACTTTTAAACGTAAAAATTGGAAATCTACACCCCTAACGCGTTACCACTGTACGCGATATCATCAGCTTTTCTACGAGTATTCGACCTGTTCGTTAAATGAACCTCACAATTTTTCGATTAACAAACGGCTATCGCTTAAGTGCTCTTAAATAACAAATGTCTCAATGGCGAACCATCCATTTACGATTCAATCGAAATGATAAAAAAAACTGGCATTACTCGAGTGTGCGCGCAATAAAAATCGATGATCGCTGAAACGCGAGAGCGTAAGGAGGTCGATGTTGCCTCGATTCACGAAATCGGTCGCGCCGGCGCTTTTGTAGCGCGCATGCGCGTACGTGGCTCGCGTGATGTCACATAGAAAGAGAGAGTCGTTACCGTTACGCAATGGCTGCTCTACCGGAAGATGTGTGCGCGCGTGCGCGTACGCGACGGAGAAAGTGCCGTGGCCCGGGCAAACGCTGACCTTACATACTGCGCGCGCGACCGCACACGCCTCACAAATTCCATCTATTTATCCACGAATAAACAAACTTTCTTAAAGTTCTTAAAGACCTACAAATTTTCTTTCTCTTCATATCTTATTAACCCCTTGCCGTGCTTTGACGAGTCTCACTCGTGACGCACTCACAACTCAAATGTGATTAATGTTACTCAAATTTTGAATACTCTTCAACTTGAATTTTAGATCCAACTATAATTTGCGTTGTCAAGGATCCCTGAATATAAAATACGAACATTTTAATTTTCTTTGTTCGTTTTAATGGTATAGTCCTGAATGGTTAGTCTTGACTGACGCACCTCATAAATAAATGGCACGGCAAGGGGTTAACGACAAAGATACATAGATTTTGGAAGGGTAAGATTAAAATTGCCCTTGAACCGATTTTACCTTGCAACGGCTTATCGATGAGAAACATCGTTTACCGAATTGTGGCACTGTATTTCGTCTAGAAACTATGCACTTTCATCCTATCTAGTGACAATGAAAAATTTCCGAATATAGACAAAGAACGTTATCCTGTTATATCGTTTGAAAATCTGAGGAAGAAATAGACGTTCCATCGAAGAAAGCTCCAGAGAAAGAAGATTTCAAAGATTTCAAGATGAAGATGTTAAGGAGAGGAAGGTTGAAAGTGTCGCAAAAGGTAGATTTGGTCTCTGCACGAGTGTTTCGCGAGCAAAATCCTTGACACAGAGACATCGTTCCACGGCCAAACGGGCAGCTCTTCTGGTCAAATATTTTCTACCCCGTTATCTATCCCGAATAAACGAAAATGTTTGACGAGCGACGTTATCAAAATCGCGAGAGCAAAGACACCTGCGATACACCGGGACCAGATATCGCTTTTTCAGGAAAGAGATTTTCGTTCGCGAGTTCGATGGAACACAGTAAAAGAAATTGCGGCCGCGAAACGTCGTTTTCGTGACAGTTCGCAGGTGCAAGCGTTCGCACCTGTACTCCGGCGCGTGGAAATCACTGCTCTGGTTTCTCTTTCAACGAGTTTTTTGGTCCACGACCAAATCAACGAGTTGTAACTGTCGATGCAAGTATCAAGTACTTTTCAATGTTTCGTTCTTGCTGAAATGTTCAGTGCGTTCGATTGATGTAACAGTGTTATCAGTAATACGTTGATAACGTACGACTATTTAGGCTTCGAATATTTCTGTAAGAGTTTTGTGGAACTTTCTTGGAGTTGTTTAGTTTAAAAATGTATTTACTCGCGCAATACCGTGTTACGCGTTATCTCGCTGTTTGAACAAAAATTTGAATGTATTTCCGATTGCGTCACAATGTGAGATATATATTGACTGACATAAGTTTTGTATCGAAGAAACTTTATTTCGTTCAATTAAAATCCCAAATTGCTATATCTCTCCGTAAAGGACTTAGCAAAATGGATTTTACGTACAAACGAAATTCATCGATTAACGAGTGCAAGTAGCACTCCATAAAAATGTCGATGTAGAAATTTATAATAACATATGATCGCTTCTAATTGTAATTAGGTTAGCATTTCTGGAGCGAAACCGGGT